TTTTATTTTTCTGGACAACGAAAAAAAAACTAGTGAAAAAAAAAAATTAGACAATCTATATGATCATATGGATATTATTATGATTCATTCAGCAAATCAATGAATTAACTCTTTGAAACAAATTATCGGACACAGTTAGTTTGTTGTTGTTGATGATCCAACATAATTTTCTATCGAATTAAATTTCCAAAAAAATGATCAATGGACACATCGATAAATTGTTGTCATGGAATGTTTTTCATTTGAATACAAAAAATTCTTTTTATTTTTTTTTTTTACTTGAATAATAGTGAAAGCTTGTTAAACTGTTGTGGATAACTTCCACACACACACACACAAAAAAAAATAAATTCATCAATCTCGTTGACAACGCCTCATAATTTTCATTTCATTTTCATTTGTTTCACTATGGTAATAAATAATGATGATGATGATGATGATGATGATAATGACAACGCCCTATTGGATTTTGTTTGTTTTTTTTTTTTTTTTTTACTTTTCTTGTTTGCCATATTGATCGGTATGTTGGACCACACACACACACACATAATTCCATGGACAAACACACACACACCTAGCAATTGAAAATCGTCATTAAATTAGACCAAATTCTTTTTTTTTACTAAACACTTTTACTTTTATAATTCGATTCAATGACTAAACGAAAAAACAACAACAACAACAACAAATTTTCAAATGAATAAAATAACTAAGTATACCACGACAACAACAGCAGCAGCAACAAAAGAAAACAAAAATCATGTGTTTGTATATTGATCATAATTGGTAATTACATAACAAAAAAAAAATCTTTCATTTTTAAAAAAAAAATTTTTTGTACATGATTAAATATGGCGCCGTCCATTGACCTTCATCGATTAAATTGTCGAATATGGTGTGTGTGTGTGTGTATGTGGTAAAAATCATAATTGTGAGAAATGAAATCACTTCTGTATGTGTGTATGTATTATACAACACTATGAACTATTCGATTAAAAACGATTTAATTGAGATCAATAATAATCACGGCAACCCCATTGAAATCATTCATTCATTCATTCATTGAAGCAATAGGGCAAATCCTTTTTGTTGTTATTACATTCCCATTAAATTAATCCAGCGATTTGAAATTCACAACAACAACAACAACAACAACAAAACAACAACAAAAAACAACAACGTATTTACATATACGGGCGACAATTTATAAGATTATATTAATATTATATATATTAGATTCAAGAAAAGAGGAAAAAAAAGGACAATATTATCGAACCATGATCGATATTTATTACAATTCTCGATTGAATATTGTTGAATACTTTTTTATGAGTTTTTGTTTTGTTTGTTTGTTTAGCATTTTCCACTCATGGAAATGATCGACAAATATCGTCTTAAAATAAAAAAAAACACCCGCATCAGTGGAAAAAAAATCGACAAAATATAAAACTCTTTGTGTGTGTGTGTGTGTGTGTGTCCGAATTGTGAAGTATTTTTTTTTTTCATTTTCATGATTGCAAATTAACATATATAGGATATATATTCACAATTTGAACACTGTGGTCAATAATAATAATAATAATAATCACTTTTTTATGTAATTCACTAACCAAAACAAAAAAAAACAAAAAAAAATTTCCAAGTGTGATAATAATAATTGTTGTGTTATGCAGTGTCGATGGAGGTGCGACAACTAAAAATTTTCGCTTGATTGGCTAACTCTGAGTATGGACAATTCACAATTTTTTTTTTTGATTTCACATGATCCAAATAGGAATTGATCCACTTCATATTTTTTCGTTGTTGTTGTTGTTTTTTTTTTTTTGCTTTAAAAAATATATATAATTACAATGACTGGTTACTGGCTAAATTTAGAAAATGTTCAAAACACACACACACACACACACACACACACGATTCAATTTTGTTTTTGTTAGAAAAAAAAATGCAATTTTCCTTTGCAAGCCTAAAATCGTCTTAACAAATTATATTGAAAAAAATTTGATCCTAAAAAAAATATTAAAAACAAATGCCAGATGTTTGATTGGGCGCCATTTGTCATTGATATCATCACATATATATTGTTGTTGTTGTATTTTGTTTTGTTTACATAATAAATGACCATATCAATAATGGCCAACGCCAAATATTGTAGGTGTTTTTTTTCTTCTAGTTAAAAAATTGGAAATTTTAAATCAATCAATGATTTGATTGATTTTCCACTGTGAGTAAGGTCAAAGGTGAGAATTTGATGAAATGATATGATTTTTATCTAATGCACGTGGTGTGTTTTTATGATATCAATAATCGTTTATTTTCACACCGTGTTCATGGTCAATTTATCTTAGTTATTTTTTTTTTTTGACTGAATGACGACAAGATTGTCATCAGAATTGTAAGCAAAAAAAAAAATCAATCGATCGATCCATTTGATTTTTGGTGTGAAATCAATTGATTGATCAAAATATCGATCAATATAAACACCTGTCGATGATGTTGTTGTTCTCTTGTCATTTTTTATTTGTAGTTTGGTCCAAAGAAAAAAAAAATGAAATGAAAATGTGAAAAAAAAATCTTCATTCAAAAAAAAAAATCAAACATTCATTCAAGCAAATAGTCAGTTGATCTAGATTTGCCTCTTTTTTTCTTTCCTATCGTATTCCATTTTACACAATTTGTTTTCATTTTCTTTTTTCTGTCCGTTGTCCAATCGAATTGATTTATTAATATCTTTATATATTATACACATATGAAAATGTTTTTGTTGTTTTATTGTTGTCATTGATTCGAATTTGCTTCAAAAAAAAAAAAAAATACGCGCGCATTCCACAGTATATACGCCCGAAAAAAAATCCTTGCATTGTGTGTATGTAATAATCACATTTTTTTATTTATTTATTATTTTATTGACTTTGGCCTTTTTTTTGTTTCAATTCTCAAATACACTTTGATCGGTTCAATGTTTATCTTTGCTTTACTTTTTTTTTGATTAATAAGAAAAAAATAATCATTGAAAATACTTGTAGAAGATCAATTTAACTTTTTTATTTTTCTCTCTCTCTCTCTCAGTGGAATATTTCATCATCAAATCGATGATTATAAATTGAAATTTTTTTTTTCATTTCCAATTCCAGATGATCATAATGATGATGATTGATCATTTGTTTTTGTTTTTTGTTCGTGTGTGTGTGTAGATATATAGCAGCCAAATAACTTTCTGATTGATCAAAATATCATCATAAACAAATATATAAATATATAACTCATTCGAATTGATCTATTTCGAATGAATACATATATACAATTGAGAAATAATAATTATTAGTTTTTCATTTGACACTGGATTTAGTTAATCTATCCATTTGTGTTAACCTTGCAACATTGAAACTATTTTTACAAATTTTTGATAATTTTCAAGAAAAAGAATTTCGTTTTTTTCATTCATTCATTTCATTCATCATTTTTGAGGATTTCCGTTGCAATTTCTTTGGAATTTTTCTTTTTTTTTTTTTTGTTTGTTTGTTGAAAAACCATGATGGGTGCCACCTGTGTGTGTATGTGTCTGATTATCGATTGTTTTTTGTTTTCATTAAATTGATTTTTTTTTTTGATTCAAAAAAAAAAAATAAAATAAATGCAAAGATATCATTTCATTGTTTAGTTGTTTTTTTATTTATTTGTATCTTTATCAATCACACAAGATGAATGCGTTTGTTTTTTTGTTTTTTTGATCATTGATGATGATATGTACACACACACATTCTATTCTATAGATTCCTGTTTTGATCTTTATCTAAATACGATGTACATGCTATGGCCGGTTGGTTGTCTTCGTTTTTTTTTCACCATTATTAATCTCATATTACGATCATCATCGATCAATTCATTTTTTTCGAAATAAAACCATCACACACATCATATGGTCACACATTCATAAATATCGTGATGATTTTTTAAACTTTTTCAAAAAAAATCGAATCATTCATCGAAAGATTCGAAAAAAAACTTTTTACAAAATTTAAAAAAAAGAATTTGCACCGAAAATCGGAATTACATGCAGGAAAACATAACTTTTCTGACAAAAAAAAGAGAAAATTTTGTTAGATTGTTGGATTTATTTTGGTGTGGTCAAGGAAATGTTGATTTGATTGTTATTTTAACTGTCCGATATGATGTATATATATATACATCGATATGATGTTTTGATGCAAAGTAAAGCAGAAATAATGATAATAAAAAAAAATCAAATTTCCATTCAATAGTCATTGGAATAATTTAAAAAAAAACCTAACTCACACTTGTTGCTAGTTTCGCTCCTACGGCGGCTAAAGAAATCATCAACCAAAATGCCGATTTGACCACAATGATTATTGTTGTTGTTGTTGTTGTTGTACAAAAAAAATATCGATAAAGATAACAACAACAACAACAAAATTCATCTATAATCAATGTTTTATATAACCACCAAACGAAAGAAAACAACAAAAAAAAATCAAATCAAACAGTTCGTTGCCATCATCATCATCATCATCATCATCATTAACATGATAATGATCAATAATAATAATTAACATAATTACTCATTGAACTCTTAAATCGTATTCATTCATGATAATAATCATAGAAAAAAAACCATAACATGACATAATTTGATCAGATATAATTATAATAATTGTAACATTTCAGTTGATTTATTCACATTTATTAAAAATCAGATAGATCAATAATATATATATTGCCATCAGGTATTATTTAAACAAATCAATCAATCAATCAATCCTATTACACAACACAAGATTGAATTTTTTTTTTTTGATTTGATTTTGATATATAAATAAAATAAAATTTTGTATTATGAATTTTTTTTCTGTTCGTTCGTTCGTTCGTTTGTATCTCAAATTCAAATCCATCCATTCATTCATTATTATATAATAAGAAGAAAAACATTCAATTATTATCTGTATGTATATTGAAAACGTTGTGTAGACGTGTCAACTTACTTTTGGTTGTTGTCTTAGTAGATCCATTAATACGACGGAAATATCTACTGAACGGCCAATAGATGGTTGTTTAAATAATAATTGTACAGCATTCATTATTGTCAATACATAAAGAACTATTTGCTGTTCAGTATCTATAGGAAATGTTTTCGATAATATATGATATAAACTTTCATCAACAAATACAGCCGTTTCAACTGTTATATTAAACGTTGGTTTTGTTGTTGTTGTTGTTGTTGTTGTTGTTGTCGTTGTTGTTGTAGAATTTATATGTTGATCACCAATAATTTCATTAATACTTTCCGGTTGATTTTCTAATGTTGATGATGAAAATGAATTGTCCGTTGTAGGCATCATAGTTGTTGCTGATATTGTCGATGTGGTAGTTTGACTTGTTGTCGTTGTTGTTGTTGTTGTTTTATCAGCATCGAAAAAATTTCTATTCGATGCTACAATATCGATCGAACGTTTTTGGCGTTTTTTATTTTCAATCATTAATGATGATGATGATGGTGATGATGACGATAATTTTGGGATCAAATCTTTATAATAATTATAATGATGATGATGATTAGAATTAGTATTTGATCCATGTGGACATTCATAATGATTATAATCATTTTTTTTCAACACTAGATGATAATGTTCATGTTGAAATGATGATGATGTTGTTGTTGTTGATTGATTATTACCATTATTTGTGAGAAAAATAATCCTTTTACTTGTCGTTTCAGGTATTGGATTAATCATATAAATTGATGGATTTGTTTCAATTACACCTTGCTATCATATCATATAAATGACAAGAAAAAAAAAATAGATTAATCTAATTATATATATATTGGCCCTAATATACAATGTGAAGATGAAATCTTTCTTTCATCGATCATTTACTTACCATACCGCTACAAAGTGAAATAGCTGCCGCACCATTTTGATGTGCTTCATCATAACCCTGATAAAAACAATTGGATAAATGTTTACGCATTGACCAATCATCATTATCTTCATTGACGATTGATCCATTAGATGATTCACGATTTTGATTGATTAGATGAAATCCCGGTGATAATAAACCATGATTTGGCCATAATCGTAACCGAAATGGTTCACCAAATGCTTCGAATTCAATTTTGATTGGTTTATCTTTATCCGGTGGAATATCATTATTATTATTATTATTGAAATTTGAATTAATTGAACGTTTTGTTCGTTGATTGTGATGAATTTGATTTGGTTGATGTTGATGATTAGATGATGTACGTAATGATTTCGATGATATCACTTGATATTGAGGCACTAATTTTAACCAAAATCAAAATTGAAATCGATCTAAATTTGTAAATTCAATGAAAAAAAAATCTTACCTTCATCATGATGGCCCAACAAAACGATTCGTTCTTCAGCTGTTAAATGTTGATGTATATCACTGTTGAAAATATTTTCATTCACATTTATTGTCGATGATGATGATGATGATGTGACAAACATTCGATGACACTGGTAAAAAAAAATGAACGAACAAACAAAAAAAAATTTAATCTAAGCAATTCAAATATTCATCATGCTCATTGATTGATTTAATTGAATTTCGTTTTATTTAATCTGATTTTGTTGTTGTTGTTTTTTTTCAATTTCGTCCAATAATCACAAGTTTTTTTCGTGTGTGTGTTCAAGTGTAACATCAAATTTGATGAATGGTGTGTGTGTGTGTGTGTGTGTGTTTGTTTTCTGGAAAAGTTATTTATTTATTTATATTTGGGGTCTCATGGGCCATTTATTTATTTATTTTGATTTTGATTTTGATCCGGCTGATTATACATTTGTTTTAAATGAAATATAAGCGTTTTTTTGTGTTCCTCATTGTGTTGGTTACAATTTTTTTTTCTCTTGCCTGACCAGAAATGACAACGGGGAAACAAAAAAAAAAGAATGAAAATTGGAACACTTATCAAAGTTAAATTCAGGAAAAATAAAATTTTTTTTTTTTTGAATGAAATTTATGAATTATTTGATACTATACTATGGCTACAATCATGATTTTGTTTTGTTTTTTTTTAATCAAATCATGATGATTGTCAGTTATGTCCAGTATATATCTATTTTGTCCGATGGTGATAGAGCGGATATGAACAAAACAAACAATTCCTGGCCGGCCAACACAATGTTATAATCACAAACAAACAAATGTATGTATGTATTTGATATTCATATGTCATTTTTTTTTCTTTGTTGAAACATCCAGGATTATCATCATCATCATCATCATCATCATCATTATTCGTAAATCAGGTTAGATGATGATACATTGTCAGGTATGTTGTGTTTGGCTGTCATATATTCATTATTTTGTTTGTTTATAAAAAAAACAAAACTGAGAAAAAATAAACAAAAGATAAACAAACGAGTTTAAGTGGGTGGATGGATGGATGGATGGATGAATGAATGAATGGATGCATATCCATCGGCTCATGGTACTGGATTCTTGTATCTTTTTTGTTGTTGTTGTTGTTGTTGCATGTTTTTGTTTTGTCATAATCTTTTTGTTCATCACTATATTCGGTTAGAATTGAAAATATTATTTTAATCTAGGTTTTCATCTTTTTTTTTGTTGTCAACAGCAACAACTTTCAACTTTCATGGAAAGATTATTTCATTTATTTATTTTTTTCACATCTTTTTTTCTCTCTCTCTCCCTCGTTATTTTCATTCATTCATTCATTCATTGTTGATCTGATGATGATAATGATGATGATGATCCAAATAGAATGTGATGTGATGATCATTTTATATGTCTATATGTAAATATGTTCACACGGTTTATCACCTACGCCTACGCATATTAAGTTTATGTTTGTGTTTGGTAGGTGTAGTAAGAAAAAAAAAAAATTTTTCCAACATCTAACTCGTCCATTGATCAACATTGTATTGAAAAATTTTTACCATCACATTGTTAAATGATTAATGGCGGAAAAAAAATCAAAATCAAATCATAACAACAACAACAAAAAAATCGAAAACGATTTGACCGGTACTGCACACACACACACACATGCACTAAAAAAATTGAATTGTCCAGTATGTGAATTCGTATGATGATGATGATAAAACTGGACCAGAGTCCAAAAAAAAAAAAATGGTTCCTTCGTTTATTGCCATTATTTATATCCAAATGACCATTTCATATCATTGTCGAGAATATGTGAAAAAAAATGAGGAAGATGATGATGATGGAAAGAAATCTTTTTTTTCATCTTCTTACAACCAACAATGATTTTTCCATAATAATCGGAAAAGAAAATCTTTCCTTTTCACTTTCTAATATATATATATGATGATATTGATGTGTGATCCGTTTTATTTTTTTTTTTTGCTTTCGCTTTCGATTCGATTATCAAATGATGATGATCATCATCATCATCATCATCGCATTATCATCATCACATTGTCGTAAAATATGTGAGAAAAAAAAATATTGAATGATTGTAAATATGTGTCTGTGAACAACAACAAGGTGTGAATTTAATGATGAAAAATCTCGTCACCCAAATGTGTTTGATATACGTGTATATGGATTGATTATTATTATTGCCGAATTTTTTTTTATTTTTTGTCACCAAATTTTATCTTAATAGAATCATTTCCGTCGTTTAAAGCTTTTTAAAAAATAACCAATCTATCTCTATCTCTTTTTTTTAATGTCCATCTGTTGTCAACTAAACGTAGCCGTGTTTTTTTTCCCCTGGTAACACATTTGGAATTATACCATCTTCATTGTCATAATCGACCGAACGAGCGAGCGAGAGAATGAGAAAAAAAATCAACTAATCGGATCATTATTATTCAGTTTATAGATGATATAATATTTTTTTTTTTCAAAAAGAAAACGACAGAACTAGCATTAGCATTTTGTTGATGCATTGAAAAATACACTTTATCAATCGGATTTGTATGTTTGTTTGTTTGTTTGTTTGTCTGTTTCAATCCAAAATTGTCTACGATGGTGACATTTGTGTTCATAATAAAAATTTTGTAATGTTTTCATTCTCGTTTGTAATAAACGTCATCATCATCAATATGAAATGCATAGGAAGAAAAAAAAAATTTGTCGAGGTCGTACAAGAATTTTTTTTTTTTTGACTAATTTTATGCTTTTGAACACTATCACACAGATGACAATTGTATTAATTATAAAAAAAACCAAGGTAACAGCACAACACAATAATGATGATGATGATGTTTTTTTGCTTTGGTCTCATTGAATATAAAGAATTCCCAATGCGATCATTATTGTCATTACAATAATAATAATAATAAAACAATTCAAATCCATCGTTTGTTTAAGTTTGGTCCTTTCATTATTCAATTTTTCATTGTCGAATAATTTTTTTTTGTTTTGTTTATTGCACATATACAAAATGAACAAAATGAAAATTCGTCAACGAATATTTTACGGACCAAACAAAACAAAAGAATTGAAAATCGAATCAAAATCACATGCAAATCAATGTAAATTTAATCACATTTACATCATCATCATTCTTTTTTTTTGTCTGTATTGTATTTTTTTTTTCTGTTTTATATATGATAATTGAACGGATTTTCTACAAATTGAATCAGGTAATTTTTTGTAATTGTATTCATATGATGATGATGATGATAATTATAATAATAAAAGAAAAAACTTACCATCCATTCGAATGGACATATCACAACAATCATTATCATTAACAATTTGATGATGATTTGTTTGTTGCTGTTGTTGTTGTTGTTTTTTGGCCATCTTAATGATGTTGTTTTTGATGTTTTTGTTGTCCATGATGATGATGATGATGATGATGATGACCAAAATGTCCTCGTCGACATTTTGTTATTTTTTCGTTTCGAATATTTTTATCGATTAAAAATGTATATTGTTCGTAGAATGATCATGGAATCTATCAATATTGGTTATCATTATTGAAATTGCAGAGAGAGATATTCAAACAAAACAAATGAATCACCATGAATAAAATCTGATTATCGAATGTCAATGAATCGAACATTATTTATGAACAGCACACACACACAGCATTTTTTTTTTTCGTTGAATAAATCATCAAAACACTCAAACTCAAACTCAAAAATAAAGATTATTTCACCAACTAAGACATTGATATATATATGGTGCGAATAAATTTTTTTTTGTGGAATTAAAATTGAAAATCTTGATGCCTAAAATTTTGACATGAAAACAAACAGATAATAATTGAATTGAAATTAATGTGTGTGTGTGTAAACAGATTGATGAAAAACAAAAACACACAAACACACACACGTTTCCCAAAAACAAAATATTTTGATTCGAATCAATTTCATAATAATAATCATATATAAATGGTGAAAATATTTTCATAAATTATCAATCTAACTGACTGATTTATTGAATGTTTCAAATACTGACTAACTGACCGTGTGTGTGTGTGTGTGTGTTCTGATCTTGTAAAAAAAAAATGTAAGCCAAAACATTATTTACCTTCAATATATTCCATTCCATTCCATTTGATATTTTTTATTTTGAACAATAAAAAAAAAGAGAGCATCAAAATGTCCAAAACATGCGGAAAACGAAAGAGAAAGTGAAATGTTTGTTGTAATGTGAACTCAACAACAACAACAACAAAAAAATACTTGTTGAAATGATGATCAGAAAGAGAGAGAGAGAGAGAGAAATTTTTTTTTTTTGCTTCATTTCAAATTGTCATGGCTCACCATCATCATCATCATTACTTATTTACTTACACTTAGTTTACACATCAATGATTCGGATATAACCGGGCGTCATCATCATCATCATTCGAACAACAAAAAAAAACAAACTTCACTTCCATTATTACACATGTGTATACAGAGAAAAAAAAATACTGACAATTCATTATCAAGAAAAAAAACCCCCGGTTTTTTTTTCGAGAAATAGCCACACAGTTTAAAGTTAGTTCACTGTGTGAAAATTGACACTGAAAATTTTTTTTTTTTTGAAATACAAAAAACATCATCAAACCAATTATTATTGTTTTTCAGCAAACAAACAAAAAAAGATGATGATGAAAAACAACAACAACAACAACAACAAATACAATGAAACAAATTAATCTCCTGCTACATATATTGAATAGTGGAAATAGCCTCGATTCGTAAAACTTGATTAGACTAATGATTGAATAATTTTGTTTTGTTTATTCAAATTAGACAATTTTGTTACATGATTTATTTCACTCTCTGTGTGTGTGTGTGTGTGTGTGTGTGTGTGTCTAAAAATGAATTAAATTCCCTGAAATTGGCCAATTTCAATTTGTCCATGTAGAATGAATTTTTTTTCTCTCTTGGTGATTGTCACCGAATGTTGATTGTTTTAGATATATAGGGACAATAATTTCTTTATATAAAATACACACACACACACACACACACAAGGACAAATGATGTTGATGATGGCAATTTTTTTTCATTTATATCTCTGTGTGTGTATTTGGTGTGTGTTCAGGTATTCAATTTGGTCAGTAGAAAACTAATTATTATTATAATAATAATAATAATTAAACCTCGATCATCAAAAATGATAATATTTTTATCAACTTTGACATACACACACACACACACAAAATAATGCATACATACATGGCGACAAATGATTTTGAACATACAAAAAAAAACACCCACTTTTTTTCAGTATGTTCTCGTTTTTTTCCCCCATTTTACATTGCATTTATTCTGATCTACTAATATTATTACCAAGTTTATATAGCCAATCAATCGATTGATCATTTCAAATGAAACAATAATTCCAAATTTAGATTATTTTCTTGTAATTTTTTTAGTGAATGAAAAGGAAAAAAATTGTTTCATGTTATGGTTATTCAAATGAAATGGATAAAATACATGAAAAAAAAATTGCAATGTCCACTTTTATTTTCTCAAAACAATATTTTTGCTGCTACTGTTGTTGTTGTTGTTGTTGCTGTTTATTTATTTCTGATGAAAAGATCAAAGAATCTGAACTGAATTTGAATTGACAATTTTTTTTTCTAATACAAATTTACGATAAAAACAATTTACGGAGAGAGAGAGAGAGAGAAAGAAAAAAAAAAATCAATTCAAACGGATCACTTGAATATAAAAGTGATCATTATCACCATCAGCAATAATATTGATTTGGTGTGCATTCTTGCCCTCGCTCTCCCTCACAAATAAACAATTAACACACAACGCACAGTATGTGTTAATTACAGAATACACATCGTATGTGGAAACAAAAATATGCTGAATAAATGTGAAAAGAGATATTCAATATCCAATATATATATTATAAGCCGGAAACAATCAAAATCAAACAAAACAAAACAAAACGATTACCATTTCACAGATATATATTCTCTATATTCCATTCTGAATTCTATCTGTTAACAATAAGAATATGAAAAACAAAATTAGTAATTCCTAATCACACTACAAACGTATTGAATCAATTCGTATTCATTTCGTTTTCTTATACACACACATATGATAAAAAAACTGATCAATCCGATTTATTTTGATCCACTAATTTTGAGTTACTGGAATAACAGCAAAAAAAAACACCATTTGAAAAGAAATGGAAAAAAAAGCCAAATAAAAATCACATCATCAAGGAAAAATAAAAATAAAAGCGACTTTCATTGATGCATTAACATTGACCTTTTGCATTTTTTTTTTGTTATTTTTATTTTTATATATTCCATCCATTACAACCTGATATATACAATCTAAAATTGTGATCCATGAATGAAAAAACGAATGTTGGTTAAATAATAATCACATTGCCAATTGCTGCATCTATAAAGAGATATGATGATGATGATGATGATGATAGGCAATAAAATGAAAAAAATTAAGGCCAGAAATAATAAAATGGAATTCAATACAAAAAAATTGGGTAAGCATTCATGATGATGATGATGATGATGAATAAAAAACTAGCAGCACATCATGTTGATGATGATGATGTCAATTATTATTGAAAATAATCATCACCTACCTGTGTGTGTGTGTGTACATACTAGGGTGACTACGATTATCATCATCATCATCATCATCATAATTTTATTGTTATGATTATTATGTAACACATCATTGATTCACTTGAATTTTACATTGCATTTGATATGATTTGTCATTTTCAACAGAAAAAAATGGATTTTGTTTTGTTTGTTCGTTCATTTCAACAACAACAACAACAACGAAAAAATTTGAAATCTCAACATCAACAAAAGAAAAAAAAAACAGATGGATAATATAACTTTGGTAGCTTTGATTTCATTTCATTTCATTTTTTTTTGTTTTTTTTTTTTTTTGTATAATCGTCATCATATGTGTAAATTTTTTCGTATTGAAAGTGTTTATTAGTGAAAAAATTCACAAATATAGTGTTTTGTTTGTTCGTGTGTGTGTGCGCGTGTATGTTATTTCTTTTGTCCCGTTTTTGTTGTTGTTGTTGTTGTTGTTGTTGTTATTCCAATCATTGCCATCGACCTGAATATTTTTTTTTTTTTACTTTCTGTCAACTTTTCACATTTTGCACAATTCAAATTTTTTAAAATAATCTGAAGACTTGAAAAAAAATTGTATTGATTAATCATTGATTGGTGTTGTTTGATTGTGTGTCCACTCTGTCTTTCTCTCAAACACACATCCACACCCACTCACACACACACACACACTTGTTTACAATCGAAGAGATTGATTTTTTTGATCAAAATTTCAATTTCAGATCAATAATAAATGCTAAATGGTGATATATTATTATTTTCAATTTCATTCCATTTTATTTTTATTCTAATTTTCATTTTTTCAATTGTTTTACATTTCAAGATCATCAAACAAACAAACAAAAAGTGTTACTGTGTGTGTTTGACCAAGTTAAACGAGCCATAAAAACCAACTGGCCAAGTGAATTTGTCAATTTTCATTCAGTAAAAAAAACAGATTTTGTTTCGTTTTGTTGAACAAATGTATCAAAAAAAAAAAAAAAAAATTATAGACCACAGTGATGAAAACAAAATATTCAGATTTAAAAATTTTATTTTTCGAGTTCAAGTTCAAATTAAATTTAGTTTAATAGATAATCTACAATATAATCGAAATGATGAAATGAAAACATTTTTTTTTTTCAAGCATATATACAAATGAATGATAAGATAATTTTCTGACAATAGCCCTTGGATTTTTTTTCTTTCTTTGGGCCATCCGTCACCACACACACACACACACACACACACACACTTGATTGCATTATTAAAATCCGGTTATTATTATTATTATTATTGGCCAAATCAATTGTATTCATTCATTTTGGTGTGGTGGTCATCTCCATTGTCATTTTTTTTTCTATTAATGGTGGTGATAGTGGTGGTGGTGGCCCACAGTAGTGAATGGTGGCTGTTATTATTATTTCAGCAACAACAACAACAACAACAGTTTTTTTTCCTTTAATATTCACACAAAAGTGAAGGATACCTTTTAATCTTAAATTGGATCAGCCAAATTGAATGGATGGATTTTTTTTTTTTTTATTTGCAAAAATTCAATTGGATTTTATTATTATTAGAGTGTTTTGTTTGTTTGTTTGTTTGTTTGCATATATTCATTACAATTTTTGTTGTGGTCAATTTGTGTGTGTGTGTGTGTGTTTACGTTGATGACAGATTTTACAATTTTTTTTTGTCTCATTTATTCTCATGTTTCAAAATGAATGTTCATAATAATAGGAACTCTTATTCTTATGGCCTTGTCGTCGTTGCTGTTGCTGTTGTTGTTGTTGTTGTTTATGGTCATATTTTGTTGTCGATAATGAATAATGTGAAAACAATGATTGACAAGAATTGACACATTTCTTTCCATTCTCATTTGTTTGATTAAATTTTTTCAAATTATTTGCCTGATTTATTCGATTAAAACGTTTCGATTGTTGCTGTTGTTGTTGTTGATGATGATTATTTTGTCGTTTAAAAAATAAAGATGGTAATGATCGATGTTCTATGGCCACTGATTTCATATGTTCATTATCCTCCGATTGTCGGCTATTTCGATTATCCGGCTTTGTTGTTGATGTTGTTGTTGTTGTTGTTGTTGTTATCGTTTTTCGTCGTCCGCTGCCTACGGCGGCTGCTGCCCCATTACCACTTACAATACTTATGCCATTTGATATTGATGATGATGATGATGTGGAAGGTGATTTCATTGAAAATAACATTCGTTTTAATCGATTTGGATATTTGAAATTTGAAACAATTAAATTGGTCGATTGTTGCTGCTGTTGTTTTTGTTGTTGTTGTTGTTGTTGTTGTTGTTGTTTTTTTTGATCAATCATTTGATTAATTTCCATTTCAACCTCACTATAATCTGGATTTTCACTGTGGCTATCATTATTGATATTACAATTATCATGAAAATGATTATGATGACGACAATGATGATGATGATGATGATGATGATGTTGATGTTGATGATGATTACGAAATTCAACCGATGTAGTTGATATTCTATGACTACAAACAGTAGATGGTGTCTGTGATAATTCTGCTTCAGCATATGAAAATGAATCAGAAATTTCTGAATGTGAATTCTGTTTTATTGATGATGATGATTGTTGATTTTGATTATAATGATAATTTTCCGTTGAAAATGATTGTGCTTGTTGTGTTGTTTTATAACCAGTGGTTGTACCTGTACGTGCCATAGGCAAACAAGATGTTGTAGCCATTGCTTCAGCTAATGAATTATTCACTGGTGTTAATGTACCGGTACGTTGTTTACGATAACGATGTCTATGTCGATGATGATTACACGAATTCATCATCATTCGTCTTGTTTGATAATAAACGTAAGAAACGTAAACTTAATTTAGTTATAGTTAGTTAAAATTTATTATTATCAATAAAAAAAATTTTTCATTATAATTCATTTAGTAAAATAATATCAATATATTCTCACCGAAAATTGGAAGACATAAAACCATAAACAAATGGATTCAATGCAGAATGTATAAAAGATAAAAGATAAAAATAAACTCTTGCACTATATGCAAATTTATCGAATTGACCGATTCCAGTCGATTTGATTACATTGAATATTAGTCTTGGTCCCCAACAAACATGAAATAATATCACAATGAACAATAACATTTTTATCACTTGACAGTATAGCTAATTAAACAGGTTAAATGAATAAAAACAGAAAAAATTATTCTGTAAATAACAAAATTCTAAATTCTTTTTTCATTTATCCACACATTACATACCTGTCGTCGTGCATTACGAACATCGGTAACAGTGGATGTATTGTATTCGCTGGAATTCACTGTTGGTGTTGGTGCCGGTGCCGGTATACCGATCATCGATGATGATTGATTATAATGACCCAAACATGATGATTGATTATCCTCTATTGGTGATGATTGTTTGTTCAATTTTCGATGATTACCAAACCAATCATGAATTCGTGATATTGATCCTATATTTTGATTCGATTGCATCGTTGATTCTTGCCTATCTAATTGTACTTTATTATTACAGCCATGATAATTAATTATGGACGATGAAGCCGATAAATGTGAGAATCGTTGATGATTTTGTTGTGATGGTGATGATGGTATTGATTTCATTGATTGTTCAATTGTTATACCATTCAGTGATTTAGTTTGACAACAATAATGATGATCACAGCTAATAATTTTCATACGTTGTAATATGGCACGAATATATTGAAAAATTTTAATAATTGAATTATTATTCGATTCTTTATCATTATCAACCGGTTTTGGTTCATCCAATATGATGCTATGATTATTATTCTTGGAATTATTATTCACAAATAATCCTGTCGCATTTGTAGGTGTCATTATGGCAATTGCTCGTGAACTAGAACTTGATGAATTTGATATATTCGATGATGGTTCACAATTGATTGATATTTCAATCATTTTTTTATTTGACCATCGTACTAGATAACTACGTGGTCCACTACTAGTATTATTAGTGCCATTAGTTAGATCATTACCATTACCATTACTATTATTATTATTATTATTATTAACAACACTTCCTCCTATTGATTGTGTTTCACTAATGGCCGATTTATGATTTGGCATTAAATGATTTGATGTTGCTTCCGAATGTACTGGATGATGATGATGATGATGATGATAACCATTAGTGGCACTTGTCAATATAGTAATCACACGTGTTGATGTCCATAATTCACGTATTACACGTGAATAACAGAACATCATGAGCAATGCAGGTATTATGAATAATGTTAACAATTCATAAATGGCAAAATATATTGCCCAATTATCATTCTTTTCAAAACAATAATAAGCTGTTATAGCTGTTTCATTATTATAATAGGTCATTGAATAAGTGCTCTAGAATAAAATCCAATTTCGGTTAAATATTCATTTTGTCAATCAAAACATTGAAAAACTAAAAAAAAATTCCGACTGACCTTGTTAAATACAGGTGGTGCAGCAAATATAATGGCCAATAACCAGACAAATATGAGACTACGTCTGGATTTTGTCACCGTACACCAACGTCTTGCATGGATCGGATATACTATCACTAAAAATCTTTGGATGGTTTTTTTATTCAGAAATTGTATTTTTCATAAATTCTTGATCTTTATCATACCTTTCAACAGAAACGGCCACTAAATTCAATATGGATGACATACCCGATAATAATTCAACGAATGAACTTAGCTTACAAATATGTCCATTATAATCCCATGTGATGACAAAATATTCCAATGTTTCAAGTGGCATAAATATTATGAGCAATAATAGATCAGCACATGCTAATGATACAAGAAAAGTGGCCGTCGGTGAACGAATTTTTCCACCACGAGCCCATGTAGCAATCACTACTGAATTACCGATAACGCCAACAATAAACGTTATAGCATGTGTCAATACAATGGCCATAAAATTCTGATTCGAATGAAATGGATCGATCATATCATGTGGATTTTCAATATAAACATAAGTTGTTTCATTTGTTTGATGCATAAAACCAGGTGTCCATAATGCATCAATAATTGATGATGCCATTATTGATGATGACGATGATGATGATGATGATGATTGTTCAATCATATTTAAATCAACAATATCCGGTAAGATTTCATCTTCAATCATATCCATGATGATGATTAACATTTATATTAACAAAATCATGATGATATTCAAAAAAATCGTTGAATGATGCTAAAAATAAGAATAATAGAAAAATTCATTTCATTCAGTATATATATATATATATATATAGGATCACATTATTCTGTATTTCATGTCTCCAATTCATTATGATGTACAGATTCTATGATTCCAGCATAAAAAACATTTATCATTAAACAGAAACAAAAACCATATGTGACTAACTACTATAACTATAATTAACTATAACTCAACAAAGAGAAAAAAAAAAAATAAACAAATAAACAAATATATCTATAAACGCCGTTCACAAAACGTTACTATTATGTGGCATATGTCTATGACAAAACCAGAGATAACCAAAAAAAAAAAAAGACCAGAAACAATTCATTTGTTCATTATTGTTATATATATCAGGCGATGTGCTTGGATCCATTCAAACGAAAAAAAAAGAAAAATTTTTTTCAATGGATCTAATAATACTGGTGTCATTATGGTTGGAACCATTTTACAACAATAACCACCACCACCACCACCACCACGTAGTTAATGCATTTGACATGTTTAATGTATTCTATATGTACATTCTCATGTGTGTTTGTGTATGGATGGATAATAATAAAAATTCTCATGGATTATATAATACAAAATGAAATTGTTCTTTTGTGATCATTGCTGAAGGGGTGATCTGTTGTTTTTCGAAGGTCTTTTTTTTTTGAACCAGAAAATTTTTTTTTTCTGTTGAAAATTATTTCATCATTCATTTTTCGATGAGAATAAAGGAAAACGTCTAGAATTGAAATGGAAAGAATTGCGAAAAATAAACATTTTTACGTTTTTGAAATTGATTTATTAATAGTTTTGTTCATCATTCTGGTTATATCCTGATGGAAAAAAAACTGGTCAAAAACAGGAAATAAAATTCTTTGTGATCAATGAATGATGTCTGGAACATTTTTCCCCCGTGGATTCTTTTTGAATATTGATTTCATTATTACGGAATATTTCCTGGTTCATCATATTCACCGCTAAAACTTAAATTACAGAAATCGATGATGAAATGACATTGACGATCGATTACATTTCGAATTGTAGATTTTTGTTTTTTGTTTGTTTAAAAAGTTGCTTTAATCGAATAATTTGTTACAAATCTTCTCAATCGGATCATATGAGTCTTTTATTTTGGAAGAAAAATTTCTCGATTCCTGATCTTTGATCCTGCAAAGAATTATTGATTTCTGAAACTTTTCAAAGTTGAACAAAAAATTCTAGAAAAACACATCATTCACTTATAAGCCATAAAAACCGTTGCTGTACAAAATTTTCATCAACCATCGTTTTGTGTGATTTTCATTTCAAGATTAGATTACTGAGAAACAGAGAGAGAGAGAGAGAGAATCAGAATTTATGTTCTCTTGAGACCAGTGTATTGAGAGGGAAAAAAACAGAACTGATTGAATGTTCGCCACTTTTCGAGATGTTTCAAAGTTATTTTTCGAATGATTTGTTTCAAATAATTTATTCATGTAAAGTTACGGGGTATTATATATAATGGAACGGTTGGAGCTTCAGGGTTATTTGTCTATGATGACAATAATAACTTTGTTGTGTAATATAGTAACAGTAGTAGTGTAGTAGTGATTGGTAAGAATTGTGAAGACAAAGAAAAAACCACAAAATACTGGATATATAATGAAAGAAACACTTCATTTTCTACTGAAGATCAAACATAGTGAGAAAAAGTTTTCCAAAAAAAAAAAAAAAAAACTTTTGTCATTAAATATTTGAGATACGGGTATATATATGAAAAAAATATATATTCACATCAGGAATGAAAAGAATTTGTTTCGGAAAAAAAACATCAATGCATGAATAATGATGAAATAATGATGATTGGTTAATGTCAGCACACATACATACACACACACACACACACATGGCGGCTAGAATCGGTTGTTCCGATTTCAATATGGAAAAAATGAATTTTTTTTTCTTCAATTTCATTCGTTGTCTCTTTTTTTTCACTATTTTTGTTTTTGTTTGAACAACACTTCAGGGTTCTTTTGAAATTTGTCAACAAGTTTTTGTCTCTTTCTTACTTTCAATATATTCATTCCTAGTGCCAGCGTATCGGCGTTATAAATTTTTTGGAAAACTTGTGGAAAATATAAAAAAAAAACTTTGCGTAGGTATATTGAATTAAAATTATTCATTTATTCAATTTTCTTCTGGTATTTGGCCATATGACAAAATTTTTTTTTTTGTTACAAAATGATGAACAATGTGCATATGTTGTTGACGTTTCATATGCGCAAATATGCGCATAGTGGTGGTAGATATGCACAAATTCTGTTTTGTTTTGTTTCGTTTTTTTTTTAGAAAAAAAGGAAGAAAAAAGTTTTTTTTTTTGAAATCAAAACTAACAAGCAATTTGCACCCAAACTTATTTTGTCATGTGTTTTTTTTTGTTTTTTTTTGTTTTGTTTTGTTTTCATATTGATCAGCAGAAAAAAAAACAAACACATGACAAACATGAAACACAAATCATTGGAAGAAGAAGAAAAAAAAATCCAAATCCAAACAAAAATCCAAGTGAAAAAATAATTTTTTTTTTTTTGGCAACCATTGAACCATTGTGAATATATATGAATAAACGTATACGCTACATTACACAGGATGATTCATTTTGTTGTTGTTGTTGTTGTTGTTATTGTGCAATCAATATTAAATTTTATATACCGGCAAACGACAACATTGGCCGGCGGCAGCCATCAACAACAGCGTATACGACAAAAGTCAACCAAGAATGAAGCAGAAATTTTTTTTTCCATTCATTCATAATTGACCAAAATTTTCAGTGGCGAAAAAATATGAATTTTTCACTTTCTCTTGGAGACATTAAAAATAATTTTAGCAGAAAAAAAATGCATGAATAATGTAAATGCAAAAAAAAAAAAAAATTATATGAAAATTCTGTTCATTCTTGCATGATGATGATGACATGAAAATGAAACAAATAATTCAGAATTCTATTTTATTCATAGAAAAAAAAGTGATATTCAAGGATTCTTTTTCAATCAATTTTTATTGTAGAATTTGGATTAGAATAATGATTTGCTTTGCTTATTCCTATACATTCATCGAATTGAATCGAGTTGTTGTTGTTGTTTGTCTCTGCCACTCTCTCTCTCTCTCTCTGTAAAAATACGATAATTCATTAACAACAACTGATTGTCTGTTTGGAATTTATTTTTGTCATCAATTTTACATTGAAATTGTAATGTAAATTTAATTTATTATTCTTGATCAAGCATACAAAAAAAACAAGGGAAAAAAATAGAATCAGTTTTAAACACACACACATTCAATCTGATTGTTATACAACAATTCATTATGTTCATGATAGCTAGAATTTCGATTTTTCTTTTTTTTTATGTTTCAACTGAAAGACATCATCATGTGCTTTAGATTCGATTTATATTTCCAAAATGGATCAATAGACTTTTTTTTATCATAATCGACTGTGTTCATTTCAACATGATGAATGTAGCTACGAATGAATGTAAAAAAATGTAGATGAAGAATAGAAAAACGAACAAATAGTTCCTGCGGTGTTTCCGGAGTACCGTTGTCAACAAAAAAAAACACACACACAAAATAAAACAATTGAATCGAATGAATGGATAAAAATTTGTAATGAAACGATTGATGTTGAATGTTTTTCCGGTCTACTATATATATATATTTCATAGTTATTGTTTGTTGTTCTTTGTTGAACAAGTAATTCAACTATCATATGATCACATTGGTATTGTAATCTAATATTAATGCCATTATCGTCATCTTGTCTGAATACAAACAAAAAAAAAAAATGAACTATCATGTAACAAAGAACAAATAATTCGAAAGGATTCAAAACTTTGCATAGAATCGTTCATCATTCATCATTGATTGATAGCCAAAATGAATAAACAAAACAAAACAAAACAAAAAAATTCATTAGTAAAATTGAATTAAAATGAACAAAACAATCGATTATCGAACAAAAAATAGTATAGCAAATTTAAATCAATAATAAATTTTGATTGCAACATCATCAAACAACATATACAATACCACCAATCCAACAAAAAAAAAATAGATACAAAGGTAATATAAATATCACTACAAGTTCATTGATTCCGTTTTTTGTTTCGTTGTTGTTGTTGTTGTTATTTTGTCATAAATCACATGAAACAAAATTAATGAACCTCGACAAAACAAAACTAAACAACTTTTTTTTCTCGGATGAAAAGAAAAATTACAATTTATTCTGAAATCTCATGAATCTTCATTCAATCTACAGTAAAAATTCATTGTGAAAAAAAAAAAAAAATAAATTGGTGATTAGTGTCGTTTTGTATGACAACAATAAACAAACGAAAGCGAGGAGAGAGACAGAAGAATGGAGAATGGAAATCCGATTATCCATATGTGTGTGTGTGTGTGTGAATGTGTAACACACCATATTAAATTCCCGTCCAGTTTGTCAGACATCAACCGGAACATAATATAAAAATACTGAATATTCTATGTTTTTTTTTCATCATCATCATCATTTGTGGAAACAACTTGTTCAGGTTTTTTTGTTGTTGTTGTTGTTGTAACTTGTTTTCCAATGGAAATTATTGAAACAATGAATCAGGTCAATTTTATCATTTCCTTGTGAACAAAAAAATTGTAAACCGTTTTTTTTTTGTTTTGTTTTTTTTTCAATGTTTGGCATATACAATGATCGATTGGTATTATTAGGAAATGTAAATTCTGTACAATTAATCTCAATGAATTTATCTTTTTCTCATCAATCGATCCATCCAATTGATTGATTGATCGATCGATTGATTGGTTGGTTGGTTGGTTTATCTCCTAATCAATCAATTTGATGGTGAATGAAAACCAAAAAAAAAAAAATTACAGAAAAGACTTACATTCAAATTCTTTTTTTTCTTGTTTTTATTGTTGAAAAAATTTTT